ACGTGGCCAGACCTTGTCCCACTGGGGAGGAACTCCCCCACCAGGCGGCGCAGACCCTGGCGAGGCCCCTGACGAGGCCCCTGACGGGCTCCATGGAGACTGGGGGCTGAGGAGCCCAGGGGGTGAGGCTGTGGGTGTGGCCTGGGGCTGAGGAGCCAGCTTTGCCCTTTCAGGCCTGGGAACTTCACCTACCACATCCCTGTCAGCGGCAGCACCCCCCTGCACCTCAGCCTCACCCTGCAGATGAAGTGAGTGCGCGTGGGGAGGGGAGACCGGGGTCCCTGGCCCCTAACGGTCCCTGGGCCTCGGTTCCTCATCTGTAGAATGGGCTGCTGCCCGCAGGGGCCTTGAGGACCAAGCAGGATGGTGGGTGGGAGGGGTGGGGAGCCGTCTGGGACCTTGACTGTTAGCATCGTTTTCAGGCTGTGAGGATTCGGTGGCTGGGCCAGCGGGGCAGGGAGGTGGAGTGGAGGGCTGGCGGGGAGGAGGCTGGGCGGAGGCACTCAGAACCCATTTCCCTGCTACCTGGGCCTCCTCCAGCTCTTCGTTCCCCGTGTCCGTGGTGCTGTGCAGCCTGAGGTCGGAGGAGCCGTGCGAGGAGGGGGGCTTTCCACAGAGCTTCCACATCCACCAGGACACCCAGGTAGGGGGCCGCTGGGGGTCCCTGGAGCACAACGGGGCCCCCAAATGGGTGAGGAGAGGCAGCCGGGGTCAGAGTGCAGGCATTTCCATAGGGACACTTGGGGGCTGGGCGTCTGTGCCGGGGAGGGCGCGTGTGCACCACGCACGGGGGAGCCTCTCTGTCCCTTGCTCTGTCCCGTTCCTGCCTGGCAGAGCCCTGGGAAGAAAATGGTCCCACAAGGACTAACTTGGGTGCAGTGGTGGGGACAGGGACAGGGAGGGAGCCCTGGGAGCCCATGGCAGGGAGAGCTAACCCATCTGGCCTCAGGTGAGGATAGCCATTTAAAAAAGTCCTGTTGATTTAAGTGAGACCTGAAGGACAATCTGGGACAGTGTCCCAGGAGAGGGGAGCAGCAGGGGCAGAGGTCTGGAGGCGGGGGGGGGGGGGGGGGGGGGGGGCACGCGTGGCGTGTTGGTTGAGCTGGAACTGGCAGGGCTGTGAGGGGCGGGGGGTCAGCGGGTTGGGAGCCTGGACCTCAAGGTCAGGCTGGGGCCGGGGCCCAGCTCCCTTGGGCTCCCTCCTGCTCTGGAAGTAAGTGGCCGGGACCCTGTGCCTCACTGGCCGTGACGAAGCTGTGACTCAGCACAAGTTATGGGGGTTTCTCCTCAGCCTTCACAGACGCACTGGGACCCCATCGCAGGCCGAGTGGGGCCCCGTGGGAGACAGACGTGCAGAGAAACCTGAGTCGGGGGGTGGGGGGGAGCCCAGGAGGCCCGGCCCCGCGGCCCCACGGAGCGGGCAGCACGAGAAGCTGGGGGAGAGCCCGGCAAGGCGCTCAGGGGCCGCCTGGCTCAGGCCTGGGCACAGGTACCGCCGGGCAAAGCCAGAGCCTCGGTGGGAGCTGGGCCCGCTGCCCGCGCTGGTCCACGCTGTCCTGCCAGGGAGCGCGTGTGACACGGCTGGGTTTGGGGTCCAGCTCTGCCGCGTGTCACGTGTGGTTTTAGGCAAATAACTTTCCTCACCTGTCAGCAGCGCCGCCTCCTTGGGCTGTAGGGAGGCGGGTAAATGAGCTACTTCCATGTGCCCAGAGCATCGTGGGCAGGAGGGAAGGTGGCGGGGGGGAAGGGGGAGAGGCAGCTGCAGACTTGTGGGCACTTGGCTCAGTGAGTGGCGGCCATTGCGCCCAGAGCAGACCCTGCTCCCTCCCATCGCCTCAGAGATGCGTTTCCTTCCTGAACTTGCCGTAGAGCCCAGGGGCTCTCTGCGTTGGCCACAGAGCGGAGTGCTGGTGAGGATGGCGGCCGGGCCTGTCCTGACCCCTCTCCCCTCTCCCCAGGGCACTTCCCACCAGTGGCCAGTGACCATCCTGTCCTTCCGTGAATTCACCTACCACTTCCAGGTGGCGCTGCTGGTGAGCACAGGCCCCTGTGTCTGTGTGGGGCTTGGGGGAGAGATGGGGCTGGGGTGGGGGTGCAGGTGCAGAGCTCAGGGCAGGACTTGGGATGGTGTAAGGCCATGTCAACGGTGAGGGGGGTGCGGGCTCCCCCCTTGCAACTCCCACCTCCTCATCCGGTCCCTCCGCCCTTCCACCCAGGGCCAGGCCAACTGCAGCGCGGAGGCCCCGGTCCCGCTGGCCACGGACTACTACTTCCGCTTCTACCGCCTGTGTGACTGAGCTGCCCTCCCGAGGCAGCCGCACGCAGGGCCCGGGGCCCCGGGCGCCCCTCCACACTGGATGCAGTTGTTACACTGGAGCCTGTGCCGCCAGCTCTCCATCCGCGGGCACTGCCCGGCCGAGCTGGGCCTGGCCTCCGCCTGGGACACTGGAAGTCTCACACTGGAGCTGCTGCTCTCGCTGGTCACTCCTGGCTCCCACCCCGGGGCCCTCTGTCCCGATGGCGGTGGGACGGCTGGCTCCAGGGCCCGGAGGCCACGCGCTCTGCCGCCCCATTGGAGACCGGGAGCTCCCTTTGGCCCTCGAGGACCCGCCTGCCTCTGAGCTGGGCGGGGGCTCGGGTGGAGCCTTGAGACTTGGCAGACAGCCCTCACCCTCGAAGCTGCTCCCCAAGGGGTGGCCAGGAGGTGGACTTCTGGGGTTTGACTGTTACGCTGGACTTGCACTTGGAAGCCTGAAGTGTGGCCCGGAGGTCACTTCTCCGAGCTTGGCTCTGAGCGCGCCCAGGGGCACTGCAGCAGCCCCGGGTGGGAGAGCCTGACCGTGTGCTAGGTACACACAGTGCCTGGCCGGACCAGGGGCCAGGGGGCCAGGTAAGCCTCGGAGGCTTGACCCTGGGTGCCCGGAAGGGAGTTCCTGTGAGCTTCCGGTGGTGTGGGCCAGGCTCACAGCGGTGTCAGGGGCCCATCGTTCTCTGGGCGGAGGAGCAGGAACCCTTGCAAGGCAGCAGCTGCCTTGGCGGATGGGTGGATGCAGGTAGCTTTCGCTGTTATTAATACTAAACTGCACTTCAACCAGGACGGGGGTGGGGGGGATGGTGATGGGAGCCCAGAGGGGCCAGACGCTGGGGTGACACTTGCAAAGACAGGACCCCGGCTCGGACCTGTCCCAGTGAGACACCCGTCCCATTCCTGACCACCCCAAGACTGGCCGCTCCCCCCTTCTTAGTCTGCTGGGGGCCTCGTCTCCCCAGATTAAGGGCGGGGGCTTAGGTGAGGGCAGACGTCTTCTCTCAAGTGCGAGTTCATCTTCGTGGGCGCCTGCAATGTTGAGCTCGTGGAAGTGTGGGACTCATTTAGCCCTGACATGGTTCCAACATGGGGACGGGGCTGCCCGTACGGCCTTGCTGTGATGGTCTGCCACCGTTTTGGGAACCAGGCCTTGCCACTTACCTCTCATTCTCAGCTTGGAATGGGAGGCCTTTGTGGGGGGGGGGGGGGGGGGCGGGGCGCTGTGGGGGGCCCCCTTCTGCTGTGATCTCAAAGCACTTGCCCTCAGGATGGGGAGACACCGGGGGTGGGGGCTAGCGGGGATGCCGGGCCACGTGGCCCCTCCCGTGGCCCCACCGCTCATTCTGACACAGGAATGACATGGCGCACACCCTGCGAGCCAGCCTCCTGGGACTGCTCTTCTCTCGCCTCCCGTGGGGGAATCTCCCTAAATGCCTTTAAACTGCTCCGCCTCGCTCCTTGTCATGATTCTGGGCTTCCTCTGTGGGGCTGTGCTCTTGGACTGCGGCCCCTCAGTCCTTAACTGGAAAGTGACCCTCCACTGCCCCCTGGAGCCCATCTGGACAGCACAGCCCCAGTCCGGTTGCAGCTGGCTGTTTCCATGTCTGGGGTAGCGGATCCCCAGTGCAAGGGTTGGGGCCAAGCAGGGGCTCCGAGCTGCTAGAGGGGGGGTCAATCTTGGACCAAAGTTGCCTTAAGCCCAGTCAAGTGAAAGGGCCTCGGGAAGGGAGCGGGCCGCCTGCTGGCAGCTGCTGGGCTGGTGCTGGTGAGTGGGTGTCGTGGCTCTGTGCCCTCCCTGGGGCCCAGCAGCCATCTCTCCCTTTCACTCCCCTGTGGCCCTTATTCCTGTAGCCACTGGGCTAATCTCCAAACTTCGAGCTGTACATAGGGCTTCTCCATGCACAAGACCCCGGCCCTCATTTATCTCCCGTAAAAGCCTGCGTGTGCATAGAGCGCCTCCTCCCCGTAACCCCCCGTTCCTGCCCCTGAGCTTCGACTCATATTTATCATGGACCAGCTCTGACTCGAGTGGGCAGAGGGAGGCAGCCCTGGGCCTGTGTGCTTCCTGTCCCCTGAACGGTTCTTTCCTTCTGAAGTAAATGCACGTGTATAAATAAACGAATAAATGCGGTTTGTATCTGAGCTTGCCTCCCCGTCTCTCTGAGATTGTTCTGGTGGGAGGTGGGGTCGCCTCTGGGGCTGGGACTCCTGGATGGACTCTGGGGTCCCGCAGCCACATGGATGCTTTACAGCCCACTGTCCTTCTTAGCGTCAAGCGAGGCTTGGACACAGGGCCACACTCCAGGGAACTGCCCAGCCTGGGCCAAAGGTAGGCACCCCAGGGAAGAGCCGTTTTAGGGGACACGCTGAGCCTTCCAGGGCTCCCAGCCCAGAGAAGAGTAGCTACACCTGGGGCAGGGGCTGGGCCCAGGGCAGACTTGACTGGTGCGGGTCCCTGGAGAACTGTGCTCTAGAAACCACGGGAGGGTGGGCCTGCCCCTTCCTGTCCCCAGGAAAGCCTTTGATCACAAGGACAGCCTTCCCACACCCCTTGGCCCTCAGAGGGGGAGCAGGAACCCAGGAGCAGGAACCATCGGACAGGCAGAGAGAAGAGGGAGGGGCTGGACGGGGGAAGTCTGGCAGGTCTGGGCACCAGCACCCACTCCACCCGCAGAAGGAGCACCAGACGAGATGGCACACATCTGCCTTTATTGTGAGCAGCAGGCGGGACACCTCCAGCAACAGTAAAAAATTAATGTACAAAAGCAGGGATTCAGTGCAGCTGCCTGGCTGGAACCTGAAAGAGGAGAGAGGTGTCACCGTGAGACCACAGATCCTCATTTCCACTCTGACCGAGCCCCGTGCTCCGGGGGCAAGGGCTGAGGGCACACGCCCTTGAGGCTGAGCCACCAGAGCCAATTCTCGTGACCTGTTTGGTGGATTATCCGCAGCACAGTTGTTTGACTTTCTCTCCTCACTTAATCAGGGTTTATTTCAGTGGCCGAAACATTCCTAATCGAAACAGGACTCATGGCAGCAAGTTTTAAGTCCCAGACCCCGACTCGCTTCGGGGCCACTCCCCAGCAGTCTCTCCAAGGTACTGGTGTGTGAGTGTGAGAATGGAATGCACAGCCCTGGGCAGCCTGCGCCCACAGCCCCGTATAGTACACCCCAAAGCCAGATCGCGGCCCTGGGCAGTATACAGAATCACAAAGCAGGTCACACTGGGCTCAAATCCCCATCAGGAGCAGGGAAAGGGGCACACGTGTCTGGTGTCCCTATCCATTCTGCTGAGCCCGTCTCCATGAACCCAGGGGTCGTGCAGGCCCGAGGACCGCCCCTGATGTGGGCGTGGGGGGTTTCTCCAGTGTCCCACCCTGTCGCAGCTCTTACCCGTGGGAGCTCATACGTAGATGCCAACCCAGAGCAGCAGGAAGAGGAACCCAAAGCCCATGAAGAGCGAGGCCACCAAGGAGATGAGCAGCTCCTTGTAGATGTCCCGCGTGTACTTGGTGGACGTGACCTCATAGCTGGCGAGACGGTTAAGGAGAAGCTCAGGCGTGGCCGCTGGAACTCGGGGAGCAAGGCATGGGCTTCGGGTTTCTGGGAGGTTTGTCCGGCTTCGCGCCGCCAGGCAGAGGCCAAGAGAGACCTGGGCTGGTGCTCCATGCAACCCCTCTGCTACCCGGGAGGAAAATGAGGCCCAGGGGGTTAGGTACTTTCCCAAATAAACGGTGGAGCTGGACTAGTCCTCCGACCCCCTGGCACCAGAGGGCACCCCTTCATCTACTCCTGCAATTCCTCTAGTCCAGCCGGACCCTCTGCTCACTGTCCTAGGCATCTGAGGAGCAAACTGAACTCACCGGAACTTGAAAAATACGGCCACACCCTCACCTTGGAACAGCCACGGCCTTCTCTCAACCTCCCCTCCCCACACCAGGAAACACTGGCAGGGCGCGTGCACCAGCATGGCTCCTGCCTCCGCCTCCCACATCACCAACTCCGGCCCACCACAGCTCAGCGGAAAGGATACACGAAGAACCAGGCGGTGAAGAACATGCCAATGGCCAGCAGCACCACGGTCAGATGGGGGAAGACGGCGGGGTTCACGGGGCTGGTGTACCTGCTCATGGCCTCGAGCTCCTAGAGGCACAGAGGAGATCAGAGCCAGGAAAGAATGCCCGGCTTCAGCCTGGGGGCCCAGCGGGCTGTCAAGGAGCCCCAGGCCGCTGTGACTGCTGCCAGCCTGCCAGCCTGGGGAAGGTGGGAATCCTGCACCAAGTGGTGCCGCTTGGGGGTGACAACTGCGTCTGAAACTGCGGTGGCCGGTGTCACCCCCTGTGAATCAGAAGGGCGGCCGAGAGGAGGCTGGGACGCCGAAGGCGGCTAATTAGCTGTGGATCAGTGAATGGCCCCTAACGTTTTCTGAGGCGACGGACCTCTATGGAAAAAAAATGCAATGAAAGGTGTGAACTCCTCGCCTGAGATAAGCCACACGGAAGAAAAAGCCTGGCCTTGGTCGGGTTGCTCCATGGGTTAGAGTCTTGTCCCGGTATGCCAAGGCTGCGGGTTCGATCTCGGGTCAAGGCACAGAAAAGAACCCACCAATGGGGCGGGGGGATGAATCACCAATGAATGTATAAATAAGTGGGACAGCAAACTGATGTTACTCTCTTAAAAAAAAAGTTTTATGGACCCACATCTGTCTGTGGACACTGGACTGGTACCCAGATCCCAAACTCTCCTTCTGCATTATCCTCACTCTGTTGTTATGGAATCTCAGGGTGACCTCAGCCTCTCCTCCTGCGTTATCCTCACTCTGTTATTATGGAATCTCAGGGTGATCTCAGCCTCTCCTCCTGCATTATCCTCACTGTTATTATGGAATCTCAGGGTGATCTCAGCCTCTCCTCCTGCATTATCCTCACTGTTATTATGGAATCTCAGGGTGATCTCAGCCTCTCCTCCTGCATTATCCTCACTGTTATTATGGAATCTCAGGGTGACCTCAGCCTCTCCTCCTGCATTATCCTCACTCTGTTATTATGGAATCTCAGGGTGATCTCAGCCTCTCCTCCTGCATTATCCTCACTCTGTTATTATGGAATCTCAGGGTGATCTCAGCCTCTCCTCCTGCATTATCCTCACTGTTATTATGGAATCTCAGGGTGATCTCAGCCTCTCCTCCTGCATTATCCTCACTCTGTTATTATGGAATCTCAGCCTCTCCTCCTGCATTATCCTCACTGTTATTATGGAATCTCAGGGTGACCTCAGCCTCTCCTCCTGCATTATCCTCACTGTTATTATGGAATCTCAGGGTGATCTCAGCCTCTCCTCCTGCATTATCCTCACTGTTATTATGGAATCTCAGGGTGATCTCAGCCTCTCCTCCTGCGTTATCCTCACTGTTATTATGGAATCTCAGGGTGATCTCAGCCTCTCCTCCTGCGTTATCCTCACTCTGTTATTATGGAATCTCAGGGTGATCTCAGCCTCTCCTCCTGCATTATCCTCACTCTGTTATTATGGAATCTCAGGGTGATCTCAGCCTCTCCTCCTGCATTATCCTCACTCTGTTATTATGGAATCTCAGGGTGATCTCAGCCTCTCCTTCTGCATTATCCTCACTCTGTTGTTATGGAATCTCAGGGTGATCTCAGCCTCTCCTGCATTATCCTCACTGTTATTATGGAATCTCAGGGTGATCTCAGCCTCTCCGTCTGCGTTACCTCACTCTGTTATTATGGAATCTCAGGGTGATCTCAGCCTCTCCTGCGTTATCCTCACTCTGTTGTTATGGAATCTCAGGGTGATCTCAGCCTCTCCTCCTGCATTATCCTCACTGTTATTATGGAATCTCAGGGTGATCTCAGCCTCTCCGTCTGCGTTACCTCACTCTGTTATTATGGAATCTCAGGGTGATCTCAGCCTCTCCTGCGTTATCCTCACTCTGTTGTTATGGAATCTCAGGGTGATCTCAGCCTCTCCTCCTGCATTATCCTCACTGTTATTATGGAATCTCAGGGTGATCTCAGCCTCTCCTCCTGCATTATCCTCACTGTTATTATGGAATCTCAGGGTGATCTCAGCCTCTCCGTCTGCGTTACCTCACTCTGTTATTATGGAATCTCAGGGTGATCTCAGCCTCTCCTTCTGCGTTATCCTCACTGTTATTATGGAATCTCAGCCTCTCCTCCTGCATTATCCTCACTGTTATTATGGAATCTCAGGGTGATCTCAGCCTCTCCGTCTGCGTTACCTCACTCTGTTATTATGGAATCTCAGGGTGATCTCAGCCTCTCCTCCTGCATTATCCTCACTGTTATTATGGAATCTCAGGGTGATCTCAGCCTCTCCGTCTGCGTTACCTCACTCTGTTATTATGGAATCTCAGGGTGATCTCAGCCTCTCCTCCTGCATTATCCTCACTCTGTTATTATGGAATCTCAGGGTGATCTCAGCCTCTCCTGCATTATCCTCACTCTGTTATTATGGAATCTCAGGGTGATCTCAGCCTCTCCTGCATTATCCTCACTCTGTTATTATGGAATCTCAGGGTGATCTCAGCCTCTCCTCCTGCGTTATCCTCACTCTGTTATTATGGAATCTCAGGGTGATCTCAGCCTCTCCTCCTGCGTTATCCTCACTCTGTTACCCTGGAGTCTCAGGGTCTGTAGGCAGAAGACACCAGTTAAAATCCTGTCTCCACTGAACAGCACGCGCCTTGTCGGGGCGTTACCGCATCTCACAGTGGGTCTGATTCAGGAAAGATGACAGATGTCCGAGCGCCCGGCTCCGGCCTGGCCTGGGGTAGGGGCTCCGCAGGTGTTTGTCCCCTTCCCCGCCTTCAGGGGCGCTGGTGAGGTCCCGCCCGTCAGGGAGGGCTGTGAACACACAGGTCTGTGCGGCCTGACCTCCACCGTCCCGCGCAGCCAGCGCTTCTAAATCCCTGAACAGAACGACTCCAGGGGAGCAGACCCACCCCGCTGTTCCAGGAGACACTGGAATTCAACTCGTAAACATTTACGCCCCCCCCCGCCCCCCCGTCCCCCAACACGACAAAGACAATGGCTGCCTTTTACGGGGCCTCGTTGGCAGGCCCCGTGTTCGGCGCTGGGAATACAAAGATGAATAGACGTCGTTTCAGGGCGGGAGGCCCGGCGGAGGGGGGTCGCGGGGAGGCGTGTCCGCGGGCAGCGGAGCCCAAGAGGGCGCGGCAAGGGGCCTGCACGGAGCCGGCGGGCGCCCCCGGGAAGGGCCGCCGGCCGGGGGTTCGCCAAGCTCCCCGGGAAGGCGACGTCCGCCCCCGACCTTGTCGCATGAGACGCGCTCGGCCGGGGAGAGAACGGCTTGGTCACAAGTGAGAGGGATAAAAGCGCCAAGATAATAAAACTGCACCTCGGGGCGGGGGGTCAATGCGGAAAAGGGGGGACATATGTAATACTTTCAACAACAGAGATTTTTCTTTAAATGCACCTCACGCCCCCCGCCCCCGCCGCCCCCTTAAAACGGGCGAGATCAAAAGAGTCCATGGCCCGAGCGGGAGGCTGTGGGAGCCTGGATCCCGGGCCTCCGAGGCCTCCGCGAGAGAAAGGGGTGTGGGGCGGGCCGAGGGCTCCTCACAGCCCTGTTCCTAACTCCCATCACCCTGCTCACCCCTCTCACCATTTTGCCGGGCTCTGGGTAACCTGCCACTCCGCCACCGGAAAAACACGTCGGCAGAAGCCGGCGCGCTGCGCGGCCGGAAGAGGAAGTGGCACCCCGCGCGCGGCATTGTGGGACTTGTAGTCCGGCTGTTTCGGGTGCAGCGGGAGCTGGGGCCAGCGAGGGCCTTGGGTGGAGTGAGGGCCAGCGGTGGAGCAGGGTGAGGAAGGGTCGCCGAGGGAGTGCGTTCACCTAGCCGGGGCTGTTTGCCGTGAGGGAAAGGCGGGCCGAGCGGTCGGGCCTGCACTGCGCTTCCCAGGAGGCTGTGCGCAGCGGCGGGTCACGTGACGGGAGCGCGGGCTTTGGAAGGCGGCGGAGCTAGAGGGACCCGCGGGCGAGCGGAGGCGAGAGCGGGACGGAGGACTGTCCTGGGCGACACCGCGCCAGCCGCCAGCTGCTAGCTGCCGAGCCCTCGCGCCCCCAAGACCAGGTGAGACCCCCTGGGAGGCGTCCCCGAGAGTGGCGGGGCCTGCGGTGCGCTGGGCGCTGTCGGGGCCGGCTCCGCGCGGGGCGGGCGCGGGTGCTGTCCCGCCACTTCCCCGCTGTGGGACGAGAAGCTCTGAGCCTCTTTATTTAGAAAGAGGAGAATGACTCCACCTCCCGGGGTCGTGCGTGTTTTGACTGAGATCCTGATGAGAAGCAGTTTTAAACCTCCTCGTGGAGACCCCGCCGCTGGGTGCTGTGCAGGGTCGCAGGTCGCCGGGCACGGGCCTCCTGGGGGCCCCGGCGGCGGGGGGGGGGGGGGGGGGACCAGAGCCGAGATAGAAGGTGTGGTGCCCGGCGAGGTGCTTGCACTTCACGAGAAGGGACGCCGCCGGGTCGCTGATGCTTTTCGAAAGGACCTGGGAGGGGAGAGCGGGGCCATTGGAAGGCCTGGTGTAATGGTTCGCCGGGTGTTGGACACAGACCACCATGGGCACGTGATGACACACGCAAAGCTCTTTTAAGTGGATGAAAGGACAGGTTTGGGTGGAAGGAGCAAAAATAATTATGAGAGTGGTGGTTTTTTTTAGGTGTGAAGGGGCCTGAACCACAGAAGCGCGACCCAGGGCGGGGTGACTAGGTCAGGGCCTGGGGTGGGTGGGAGCCATGGAGTTCCCGTTGGGGACTCGGTGGTGGAGCGAGCAGACAAGGGGAAGACTTAGACCTCCTGGCAGCATCGAGGTAGGAACAGCCATCACTCCCATTCTTAGGGCTGCTGTCTGCGTCGGGGTTCTCCCGGGAAAGAACAAATAGATGCATAGCACAGGGACCTGTAACCGGGGGATCCGTGGGTCCGAGCCGCCTCCCACTGCTTGAGCCATTTAAGCAGAGACGGATTGAGTCATATATGAGCGCGTATTCCAATCCTGCCAGCGGTATGGGGAGAGCACAGCAGGTCAGCCACAAAGACCTGCTCTGCACCCCCCATAGGCCAGCTGCTTGCATTGGGTCCAGGGTGGAGTAGCCAGCTGGGCGGGGAAGCAGGCTGGAGGTGTGCAAAGGCCTGCAGGTGTGCAGCAGGGCTGGGGTCTGCAAAGGGCGGGCGATTCTGGTTTCTGCAGCAAAGATGTTCATCTTTCCACGATGGGGAGGGCGGGCTGCGTTGCCTGGTGAGCACAGGTCCCAGGCGCGGCTGCCAGCCCGGTTAGAACGCGCCGCCTTTACTCAGAATAAAGCAGTCACGGTGAACAGAGCATGATTAACATTCCTTACAATTCCAGCTGGTTCCCCAGCCTTCTGTTTCTGCCCCTATTGGAGCCACCTAGAGAGACTTACTTTAAGGAATTGGCTTAGGCCGTGGTCGGCAAACTGCGGCTCGAGAGCCACATGCGGCTCTTTGGCCCCTTGAGTGTGGCTCTTCCTAAGCCTTAGGAGTACCCTCATTAAGTTAATAACAGTGTACCTACCTATATCGTTTAAGTTTAACAAACTTGGCTCTCAAAAGAAATTTCCATCATTGTCCTGTTGATATTTGGCTCTGTTGACTAATGAGTTTGCCGACCACTGGTCAGGTGATTGGAGGGGTTGGCAAGTCCAAAATCGCAGGGCACGACCTCCGTTTTTGCTGCTAAGGTTGTTCAGACGAGCTGGATGAGACCCCTGCCACGCGGAGAGCAATCTCTCTTATTTAAAGTCAACAGATTGCAAATGTGAGCCTCATCTACAAAAATGCCATCACGGCAACACCTGGATGTGTGTTTGGCTGTAGCCGTCACGGCTGCTTAGGGGAGGAAGGCGGAGGGATGATTTGGGGAAGAATAAGTGTGGTTTGCACGTATGGCAAGAAGATGGGTAGTCATGTTTATTTCACCACTTTACACATTCAGCTGTGAATTGTGGTTGCTTTGGTAATTGTCTCATCTCACCTTTGCCTAACCAGTTGTGTGTGTGTTTTAAATAGATTTTTAGAGCGAGAAGAAAGGCAAGAGGGAGAAACATCTATTTGTTGTTCCACTGATTGATGCATTCACTGGTTGATTCTTGTGTGTGCCCTGACCGGGGGTAGAACCTGCACTGCAGCCCTGGCTTATCTGGATGATGCTCTAACCGACTGAGCTACTCAGCCATGGCCCTGACCAGTACTTGCCTGTCCCGCGGGGCTCAGTTCTGCCCTTATGGTCCCTGGACTGCTCGAGTTGGGCCAGGCACACTCTGGATTTTGCATGATATGGATGCAGATGTCTGCTTAGCCCCTATGCTAGTCCTGTCGCTGCTTTAGGCACAAAATGTGAAGTCCCTTAAGGACCTCAACAGCGTCTTATTCCTCTTAGCGCCCAATTTAGTTCTACTCAAGAAGTTAGTATTGAATCGAGTTCCTTGCCAGACTGTAAGTTTCTTGCCAATGGAAATCTTGTTTTCTTCATCTTTTCATCTTCTGCAGTGCTAACTTGGTTTCCAAAATTTAACAAAAAGTTGTGTTAAATTTGTTTAGCTAAAGGCATGACAAATTGGTTAGATAGCACCAATATAACCTTATTATTATTATTATTATTATTATTATTATTATTATTATTTCATCCTTCAAGTTCCTCCTTGTGTTACTTGCCTTTCTTTTTCAGCTGTCCCTCCTGCTATGGGCATTCAAGGCCTGGCCAAACTGATCGCTGATGTGGCCCCCAGTGCCATTCGGGAGAATGACATCAAGAGCTACTTTGGCCGCAAGGTGGCCATCGATGCCTCCATGAGCATCTATCAGTTCCTGATTGCTGTTCGCCAGGGTGGGGACGTGCTGCAGAATGAGGAGGGTGAGACCACCAGCCACCTGATGGGCATGTTCTACCGCACCATCCGCATGATAGAGAATGGCATCAAGCCCGTGTATGTCTTTGACGGCAAGCCGCCGCAGCTCAAGTCGGGTGAGCTGGCCAAGCGCAGTGAGCGGCGGGCTGAGGCGGAGAAGCAGCTGCATCAGGCCCAGGCCGCCGGGGCCGAGGAGGAAGTGGAGAAGTTCACTAAGCGGCTGGTGAAGGTCACCAAGCAGCACAACGATGAGTGCAAGCACCTCCTGAGCCTCATGGGCATCCCGTACCTCGATGCGCCCAGTGAGGCAGAGGCCAGCTGCGCAGCCCTGGTGAAGGCTGGCAAAGTCTACGCTGCGGCCACGGAGGACATGGATTGTCTGACCTTCGGCAGCCCTGTGCTCATGCGGCACCTGACTGCCAGCGAGGCCAAGAAGCTGCCCATCCAGGAGTTTCACCTGAGCCGGATTCTGCAGGAGCTGGGCCTGAACCAGGAGCAGTTTGTGGACCTGTGCATCCTGCTGGGCAGCGACTACTGTGAGAGCATTCGGGGCATTGGGCCCAAGCGGGCCGTGGACCTCATCCAGAAGCACAAGAGCATCGAGGAGATTGTGCGTCGACTTGACCCCAACAAGTACCCTGTGCCAGAGAACTGGCTCCACAAGGAGGCCCAGCAGCTGTTCCTGGCGCCGGAGGTGCTGGACCCAGAGTCTGTGGAACTGAAGTGGAGTGAGCCGAAGGAAGAGGAGCTCGTCAAGTTCATGTGTGGCGAAAAGCAGTTCTCCGAGGAGCGAATCCGCAGCGGGGTCAAGCGGCTGAACAAGAGTCGCCAAGGCAGCACCCAGGGCCGCCTGGAAGACTTCTTCAAGGTCACCGGCTCGCTCTCTTCAGCCAAGCGCAAGGAGCCAGAACCCAAGGGATCCGCTAAGAAGAAGGCAAAGACTGGGGCAGCAGGGAAGTTTAAAAGGGGGAAATAAATGCGTTTCCCTTCATTATACCTCCTTGACCCTGGAATACCTGCTTTGTACCCTCAAGAGCTAGTGCTAGAGAAACCTGCTTGGGGCAGGGAGGGGATTGCATTGCTTCTCCAGGACTGCCCTTCTCGGTAGTGCTTGTCCCTTTTTACTTGATCTTATGGCAGGAAGGCCACAGAGTACTCTGTTTTCTTCTATTGTAGCTCAGGAAAATATGCCAGGCTCACACCACCCTTCAGTCAACTTAATGAACTCTGAACCCACTGTTACATAAAAGTCATAGCAACAAGTGTTGAGGGAGGGAGAGGAAGATACATGGTGGAGACGAAGGACCGAATGGAGATGATGTCCTCGCTGGCCAGCTGTTAGCCAGTGATGGTGGAGCCAGTCTGCACTTTTCTCTCTGGTTCGGCCTGGACCCACCCTGAAGGAGAGCCAGCAGGGAGATTCAGTCTAAACAGATAGGAAGGGCTACTGAGAAATGACAGGCGGTGAGCTAGAGTCCCTGGAATTCGAAATGTGGGTTTCATTACTGGCTGTGTATCTCGGCTGGGCAGAAACTTGAACTTGCATTGTAACTTGAATCTTTAGTTAGTTATTCAGAGGCATAAGGTGGCTTAGTTCTCATGGCCTCTCTGAGGCAGTCAGCTGAGTTGAAGCTTTGGGATAAGATGCTATTGTCATGTGCTATTTTTGTTTTAAATGTATGAAAAAAGAAGTCAATAAAAGTAGGCAGAATATAGTGTTCTTTTCATTCCTAACATAACATGCTGGAATTGTACCCTACTAACAGGTGGTTTGAGCGTGGCCACAAGATGGCGCTACGCCCCCATTGAATGGCTAAAGGAACTTGGGCGGTAGGTACTTCAGCCATTTGGAGGATGCCAGTTTATCTTGCTAGGAACAGTTACCAGTTTTCCACCTACTGTGTGAGATAAAGGAACTCCTTTGAGAACTACTCACAATTTAGTCAGGGATGGGGACCCTTTTTCTGCCAAGGCCATTTGGATATTTGTAACATCATTCACAGACCATACAAAATTACCAACTTAAAAATCAGCCTGCTCTAGCCGGTTTGGCTCAGCGGCTAGAGCATTGGCCTGCGGGCCAAAAGGTTCCGGGTTCGATTTCGGTCAAGGGCATTTACCTTGGTTGCAGGCACCTCCCCGGCCTGGGCCCTGGTCAGGGTCTTGTGCAGGAAGCAACCAATCGATGTGTTTCTCTCACATTGTTTCTTTAAAAAAAAAAAAAAATCAATGGAAAAATATTCTCTGAGGATTAACAACAACAAAAACAGCCTTGCTATAATTGGTCCAACACTTAACTCACCCCTAGTGCCTGGGCAGGACCAGATCAAATGATTTTGTGGGCTAATACAGCCTGGGCTGGACGATCCCCACCCGACTAGATAAGCTGCTATTCTAGCATTGGAGCATTCACCATTTTGCAAATTGCAGAAGCTGCTTTAAACGTCACTTCCTTGTTCCTTTGGGACCTCCGGTCCAGGTTGCTGTTTCTCATGGAGAGGGGATGTTTCTGTACTTTGCAAGACTTGTAATCCTGATAGAACTTGGTGGGGAGCTGTCTTGTCTGATTTTCTAATTTTGTAGTATTTATAAAAGTAGGCAGAATATAGCGTTCTTTTCACTCAGATAACGTCTCTGTAGGTCGGGACAAACTTTTTTCGCATTTGGATTTTTTTTCTCAGAAAAACAACAAAACAGTAGGTCTGCTCTTGTCCTGCAGTGACCCTTGGAAGCCCCAAGGCACTTACCTAGTCCCTAGCTCAGAACGGCTTGTGTGTCCATGCTCCCTGTTTATCTCCGAACCTCCAGCGCCTATGGAGTCTCTGTGGCTGGGTTCCCAACACAGGTGCTAAGTTTGGTGGTTTTTCTCTTGCTAATCTCATGTCCATTTGCGCTCCTCCATTCACCAAAATGCCGAAATGGCGTCCCGTTCTAAGTCTGCTTTTATTAGCGATGATATTGCTAAATGTGTCAATGTAGTAAAGGTTTCCTTAAGTTTTTGAATATGTAACTTCATTTACTTGCGATTCATTTTTTTCCTAAACTGCTGTAAAATCAGCAAAAATGCTTTGGCAATTTTAGCATAGTTCCTAGGATATTGGTTGGCACTCAAAGGGTTACTTAGACCAGTGAGAAGTCTGCCCGTTTTTATTTAGCATATTCTAATATGCTGGCTCAAAGATTGCTGTTCCAGTAGGATGGCGGTTAGAAAAGCACTGCTTTGCAGTCCAGCTCTGAGGCATTATGTCTGCAGAGGAAGATTTAGGCAAAAAGCAGACTTACAGGGACCACCCGTGTACACTGAGACTAGAAATGAGTTCAGGGGTGAGGGCACTGCCTCACAGGAGGGATGCACGGAAAACCTAGTGTCTCTAGCATTTGAACACGGGCGTCCTGGGAAGGGGCTGGCTTTTCCTTTCCTTGCCATAGTCCACCTGTGCTGTTCCCTGGGTTTCCTGACGTTCGTTCTGCCCAGGGGGCCTATGCAAAGGGCAGGCTGTGTGGGGGTTCACGTTCGAAACATGTTCAGAAAGAACTTAGACCCATAGACATACAGTGGCTTCAAGAACAGGCACAGGGAGTCCTTTGGACAGACATACACAGGGGAGCGCTGTGGGTTGCAAGCGAGGAGCCTTCATTTGGTCAAAATCCACTTTATTTCTCAGCTTCCCTCCGTTAGGACGTGGTAACAAAGTTGGCGGGTACAAAAAGATAGCGATGCTGGGCCTGGTTACAGAAAATGCCCCTGGCCAAGTGGGAGGAAGATGAAAGGAACAGACAAACGCAGATGTTGGGAGTTTTTCAAAAGTGAGTTCAAATGTTAGTTCTGCCACAATCTGTGACCGGAGGCGACTTGTTCTGTCTCAGCCTGTCTGCTCAGCTGTCATGGGATTTAAGATCACTCATGTTCCCACTGTGACCGTCGGAGCCCTTCGTCACTGGTGTGTCCGTTATTGGCCATGTGAGACCACACTGGCCCAGGCTAAGGAGAAGGCCACATGTTTGAGGTGCTTTGAGGACCTGGACTTGGCTCAGGTAGCTTCGCTGGGTTTGCTCAGCCTGGGCCCAAAGCCAGAGAGCTTGGCAGCTGGTGACAGCACACCCACCTCAGGTAGCGGGGAGCTGGGGGGCGGGGGGAGGGGGTCAGCACCCATTTTGGAGTGAGGAAGCCAATGCTTCAATTGTCTAATTTAAACCAGGTTCTGCCCAAATGAAAAAGATCCGAACTCCTCTGTTACCTGTTCCCCCCATTTCTCTGTTTTTTTTTACATTTTTGTTTTGACAAACCTCTAATCACAACACCCTTTCCACAGGTGGTGCCTCTAGTCCCCTCCCAACGTCTCCCAAAACTAACAGCCAACTCTCCCGGGGCCCCCAAAGGCTCAATCCGCCTGGGGTGGGTGCTGAATGGCACGGGTGCAGGGAGCAGAGAGGGTGTGACGCTGATAAGTTCTGCAGTTAAGGCCAGACTCCTGGGGCACACTCCTGCTTGCTCTCTAGAGATGGGTTAAACTTTCTCTTTTAAAAAGCAGATTTAAAAATGGCATCTCTGTATTAAACTAATGAGAGACCCTCCTAAATTCCTAGCTGGTCAGCAGAGAGACCCCTGAACAGAGCTGACAGTGAGATGCCTGTTTCTGGGTTAGAGCTAGGAAGCGGTTACACTGAGCCCCGCTGCTCCTGCTCAGCGATGCTGTAGATGACCCACATGAAGGGATTCTTCCAGCCCCATCCTCTCTACGCCCAGCCCTGGGTCCCCTCCTGCCTGGTGGGTCGGTGTCTCCCCGCGTGGCCCCTTGTGCTCACGGACGCTGTTGTATTAAACTTGGCGTTACAGGGAGGGAAGCAAAGGGAACCCACTAGGCCCCCGTCTGTCTCAGGAGGAGAAAATCAAGGTGCCCCGTCTGCTCACTTGCTGATGGAGCAGGAAGTGGCCGCCCTGACCTGGGAATGTGTCTCTCCTCAGGTGCTGGTCAGAGGAGGCGAAAAGCCGAAGGGAGTCTTAATGGCCAGTAACTCTCTGCTGACATTTTGGCAGGACCGAGGACCTAATGCTCCCTTGGGACTCTGGGTGGAACACGGGCCCAACGTCAGCAGGATCCTTCGGGGCCAGATGTCTTCCATACCACAGCCCGCCTCTGCCCTGCGTACTTCTAAAAGTGGAGAAACTGCTTCTCCAGGAACCTGAGGCTCTTGGAGGTCACAGACTTTGTGGCGCTAGAGTGAGCTGAGCCCCCAGGCACTGCATGAGGCTGGCCTCGGAGTTCTAAGCACTGATGCTTCCTAAGTCTGGCTACAAAGGTTCAGCTGCTCCACCTCCCTCCGCCCTGCGGACCTCAGGTTTGCAAAGGAGGGTGTCGTGGACCAGGAAGATGAGCTCACCCCTTTCTGGGTGGAATTTTACTGCTGAACTTCCTGACTTCTGGGCCCAGTTGGTCCTCCCTATTCTCCTCACACCTTCCCGACTCCCTCTTGCTCACCAACCACCTACATCTGACACTAGAAAAAAGAAACAAACTCATCCCTGCCCTAAGAGCTCCACCCCTTCCTCCAGGGGCTGGCATGTTCCCCTCCCTCTTTGGGTCCTAAATCTGCCTAGAAGGTCAAGGGGAGGGGTCTGAGCCCGAGCCTCGATCTCAAACTGCCCCCCTCTGGATGTTAGGATTGTAGTGGCCTGTCCCTGGGGCTTCCTTCTGCGTTGGCTCCGGAGGCTCCTCTTCCGGGAGGGGGGCTGCTGTTATTGGTGAAGGTAGGCATCCAGCCAGAGCTGCCCCGACTCCTTCAGGGAGCTGCAGGGAGAAGATGGGAGCAGGCGGTGAGGGGGGCAGGGCAGGGCTGAGCCCCAAAGCCAACCCACCCACTAGAAAGGTAGTGGGGACTCTCACAGAGTCTCACAGAGGTCTGGAAGCCCGTGTCCATGGCTTGAGGCCCCCTCCCTTCCCCTCTGTCTGAGAAAGAGCTGGGGCCACACAAGAGCAGAGGACTGACTTGGCCACGCAGAGCGCCCTGCTTTGGCCTCGGTGATTTCCATTCCACGGGGGAAACCTTCCTATCACTCCGGCCCCACACTTCGCCAGCCCCCCCCGCCCTGCCCGCTTCCCTCCCCACCAGCCACCGCCCCAGGCTTGGATACTCACCGAACAATGTCCGCGAAGGCCGCGAGCAGGGGCTTGGACTGGTACTCGATGCCGTGCTTGGCACACAGGGAGCGCACCAGGGGAGCCACTTTGTGGTAATTGTGTCGCGGCATCGTGGGGAAAAGGCTTCGGGCAGAACGGGCAGTCAGGGCTTCTGCTCCTTGGCCCCCCCACCCCCCGCACCCGTGGACCCTGCCCAAGGCCCTGCTTCCGGTGTCTACTTACTGGTGTTCAATCTGGAAGTTGAGGTGCCCACTGAACCAGTCATTGAAGGCCGACTTGTGCACGTTGCACGTTGCCTGGAGCTGGAGGAGGAGGGGAGGGGAGGGGAGGGCACGGCTCTGGGTACCAGATGCAAAGGCCAGTCCAGCCCTTTCAGGCCACGCTGTCTGAGCGGCGGGGCTGTGGGACTGTCCCCGGTCACTCCCCTCCACGTGGTGGCTGGAGAAGCGTCAAGCTAATGAGGCGATGCTGCCGGAACTTGTGTTGTTACTGCTCCCCGGTCCCCTCCCCGCGTCTCTGCCCACCCCCCCTTTTTCTTAGCTGTGTCAGGCCTCGTTCTTCCAGGTCACTG